TGCACTACTTTTTTTCAACAAATAGCTTTCTCAAATCTCCCCTAGTCACATTGGTGGCGGCGGCTAGGTGGTTGGTTCCTTTCTTCCTTCCTGATGATCTGTTGGTTCCTTTCTTCCTTCCTGATGATCTGACCTGCTTATTATGTTGATATTAATGTGTTTTTTGGAATGAACACATACATCGAAAAACAAAAAAAAGCATCCTCATTGTCTTTGTGTCTGGTGTAATTAATGTTTTGTTTGTAAAACATTTTGTTAACAGAGAAATATATTTTGTATAAACACACATATAATAATAAATACAAAAAAATAAAAAAATAGAGTTCCTTTTTATTTTCCTCCAAACCCAGGCACAGACAATGGCCGGTCGACACGTTTAGCAGCATAATGCTATGCTGCTGCGGATGACAAAAAGCTTTTATTGTGCGGTGTTGTTGTTGCTGTTGTATTTAGTTTATTTTCTGTTACGATTTAATTTATTAACAACAATGCTGCTGCCACATAATAATCCACTAGTATGTGTACTAAATCGCATACACGCTTATCCTCACTGACTAACACACTCACATAAGCCAAACAATAAATAAAAATGTTAATTACACGATTCACTTCATTAAAATGTCTTCTTAATGGCGCCTCTGTTTTGTATTTTTCCCAACCATGATTTATTTTTATTATTTGCGCTCGCTCGGCATTGTTTCGAAGAGGTTTGAATTGTGTTTTTCGCTTCCGAACAATGGAGTTCATGTTTTCCAAACCTTTGCATTATTTGTGTTTTTTTTCTGCTTCTTATCAGATTAGGAGGTTGGCAGTTACAGTTTTATGACACAGCAGCAGTTTAAATATTTCATAAAGGATGATATGTGTTTACTAAATGTTAAATATGTTTCCTTCCTTTTTACTTCGTGTATTCAGTTTCCTACATAAGGTTTTTTTTTTTCTAAATTTTATCGCAAATAAACAGCATTAAAAAATTGTCGCAACTTTCCAGGAGTGTGTTGATGCCATGTAACAATTTAGCACCACTAAGTGTGCGAACTAGTTTTGTTTTTTGTTTTTTTTCTGTATGAGGAGTTGTTAGCATATATTTCTCTCAATGGGTTATAATATTAGGGTGGATTGAATAATATTTTTTAGGTACCGTTATGCTAAACTTTAATTTGTATTAAATTAACATCTAGGAAAATATTTTTTGTAATTTTCAAAAATTTGACTTCGAACTGATTTTCTCTCCACCCTATTGTCTGAGCTCACTTCCGTATCTTTTGGTCACATTTTATGCAACTCATATATTTTGCGTAATGAAAAAAACTCAGAATATGTTAAATGTTGGGCTGCTACTCCTATGTGTGCGTATGTGAGTGTCTGCTGAGTGGATAACAATTAAAAAAATTATAACTTTTTCTTCTCTCTGTGAAAACTTCAGTAATTCCTAACATATTTTTAGGTTAGAATTTTTACAGGCCCCAGAACTCTACTTTAGAATTCCATTTTCCCCATAAAGTGTTTGTGTGAAATGTCTCAGTGGGGAAACAAGTGAAAGGAGGCATAACATAACATGATAAAAAAAGTTAAAGAAGATGAAGTTCTGATGACATAAATGTTATGCTGCCATTAGAGAAGAGTGAAATGTAATGATAATGAAGAAGAAGACAAAATTTAAAAAAAAAAATGTGGCACACAAAATATGGAATAGTTTTGGAATATTAAAGTAATTTCAGAAATTTTCAGAAATTGTACAATTAAACGCAATAATAAATTTAAAGAATAAGAAATAATTTAATAAAAAGTATTTAGTAAAATGTTTAAAAAAATCCCATTTTAATCTACTTTGAAAATATTCTCAACGTATCTACGTTCAAAATTATTATTCTAAAGACTTAAACAATGTCTTCTAAATGGAAAGCCCTTAAAAATATTCTTTCAAAAAAATCCTCAATAATATACTTTTTATTCAAATATTTTCAATACTTCTTTATAAATATTTTACTAAAAATCTTTATACTACAAAATAATAAAGTTTTTTGTATTACAAAAAAAAAATATTTTTCTTTACCTCCTCTTATATCCCCCATTAATTTGTCTCTCTATCTCTACGCTATTAACAAAGTTGAATAAACCGCTTATAACTTATATAGCCCAATTACATCGTTTTGTTTTCGAACATTTTCACCTGAAATATTTTTTCTCAAATTGTCTATGAAAAATCTATTATTATGTATTACAAACAAAAACACACACACACACACAATATAATGAAAAAGAGAGGCGAGATCATTGATCGCCCAAATGGCATCATCACCTGTGTAGAGGCAGCAACAGAGCACGTACACACCTTGCCATAGAAGTGAAAGTGAAAATCCTTGTGAATGATCAGCTGAAGCAGCAGCTAGGCGAACATGTCAATAATGATGATGCTGATGATGATAGTGTGAATAACAACAAATGCATGAAATACTGCCGCCTTGCAATGAATAAATGATTGAATGAAACTATGTAATGCGTGCTGCATTTTGCAGCAGGAGGGTAATCATCGACAACATGTTTGATGTCTAACGTATAACAGCTTTTATTACAGCGCATAGATTATATGGTTAAGAGAGAGAGAAGGAGAGAGCATATATCCTCCTCATAGCTGTGTGTGTGTGAATTTCATTGAACCTTAATAACTGATTGCTTAGAAAATTCAATTTGAACGTTTTTGCTGGGCAACTTGTTTTGGCCAACCAACCAGCCTTCTTGCCTGCCTTCCTTCATTATTTAAACAATTTTTGCCATAAGCATTATTGCTGCATAGCAAAATTTTTGTTGCAAGCCAGGCAGTCATTCAACCAGCCAGCCTCATGTCTAAGTTTAGCTGCAAGCATGGCTTGTGTTATAGCCTCTACTTTTATATTTTGCCTATAATGGCCTCTATTTTTGGTGATTGTAGTTTTCAGATGCCTATATTTTTACTGATGATGGTGGTGCCTGGTTGGTGGTGATGATGATGATTGCGTGTTGTTAGCCAAAGTTTTTTTGGCCAGCTCATTCATTCATTGATGCAATTGTTTGATGTGAGTGTATATTGTGTGCGTTTGTTGGCCACTCGATAATGAATCTTGTTGTAAATACCACTCAAATTAAGACGAATGGCGTTATTGCAGTATTTTGTAGCACTTTGCAGAAAATTTTACGAACAAAAACCAAGCATGTCCCCCTTTCTTTCTCCCCCTCAAAATACATCGCCACTCTTTATTCCATGCTCACCAATAGTTAATTGATATCTTTAGGCTCCTATGCAGCAAACATGGGAAAGAAAAATCCTAATTTTCTATATATAGTTACTGGTTTGGTACAGGTGTTGCCATTTTTGCGGGAGATTTGTTAGCGATCAAAAATATATTTGCAAATTTTATAAACATTATTCTTTACCTCTTAACTGAATTTTAATCATTCAGGCATTAATTGATTTGTATATATTTTTTGTTCATTCTTCGAAAGACCCACTTCAAATCCTTGTTAAAAATCTTGTCTTCTCAGAAGGCCTAGATTTAATCCATAAATCACTCAAACCCTAAACATTTAATGGTCTAATCAATTAGAGCATATCTTTTTAACGAATTTTTAATTTTATCTAATAAATGTTGGGGAAAATGTGGAAAAATTCCCTTTCAGATCGCCAGGATTGAACCCATAGTCCACTGAGGCATATAAATACTCAAAAATATCAATAAAATTAATATAATCAATTATTTATTTGCCTCAAAGCATGGCTAGCCATTTACTTTCCTTTGTGTACGTTATAACAAAAACTAAAGCATACTTCTAGGCGCTGACTTAATATTCTTTACTGTATCTTGTTTTTCTTAAAAATATTACATTTAAATTAACTTAAAGTAATAATTTATTAGTGAATATGGTAAATAGATACCTCAGATTACTCTCCCCAAGTTCTAGAAGTTCTTGCTGCAAACCTAGGCCCCATTTCTTCATATTTTGGATTCGTTATTACTTTTAGAAAATAGTCACACTATTCTCTTTGAAGAGTATATATTTTAACATAGGAATTGATAGCATTATTATGAAGAACCTGGCAAGGAACCCTATCACAATATCTACTACCCCTCTAGCAGTACCGTACAAGGCTCTTTTTGGGCCCTATGTCTCTAAAATAATGAAAACACTACTGAACATGACCACCAAGAGGTTCTACCGATATTTAGCCCTAATACTTTATTAGAAGTCTCTTAAAAACTCAGAAGCTGAACAAAATGGTAAAAACTTCCATATAACTCGCTCACGACAGATTAACATAAATAAATGGTTTAGAATCACAATTTCAACTTATTCTCACTTTAGAACGGGACTTACCCAAAAGAAAAAAATCCGAATCTGCCTTTTTTACTATTGAAATCTTTTAATGTTCCATTCATTAATTTTCTATTATTGGCAACCCCATTGTCCACATGTGAAAAAATCTTGTTATACGAACCATTTTGTTCATCGCCAGTGCACTAAGCGAGGAGTTACATTCATCAAACGATATAAAAAGCGCAATAATGCAATAATTCAATGAACCAATTGCCGCTGTTGCTACAGTCATAACAGAGCTGTATGCATAAATTATTTCATGGAACTGAGGGAAGGATCTGGGAGGAAGAAGAAGGGGTCTGTAGCATGTTTCTGCTGCTGCTTAGTTAGAGGAGAGCTTTAACAACCAACTACTTTTTTGTTGTTATAACGGGAAATTGCAAGGCAATCATGTTTTGCTTGCAAACATCAATGGCCATTGACTACAACAACAAAAACTACACAAAAATAGCCCATAGAAAACAAAATTGTAAAACGTAATAATAACCACCTGGCTGGCGAGAGGGAACTATGTACACTTTTTTGCATTAATTTATTCATTGAAGTTGAATTGCAACAACTTTGTTTTTTTTTAATTGAAACACCTGCTAATTAATCCATGAGAACTGAAATTCTAACCATTTTTCTTCTTTTATTTTCATTTGCAGATTAAATTCCTTAAAACCAAAGAAGGCACTGCCATGGTGCAAATGGGCGATTCAGTGGCTGTCGAACGTTGCGTCCAACATCTGAACAACATTCCCGTTGGCACAAAGGGCAAAATCCAAATCGCCTTTTCCAAGCAGAACTTTTTGTCCGAAGTCATAAATCCCTTCCTGTTGGCCGATCACACACCCAGCTTCAAAGAATATACCGGTTCAAAGAATAATCGTTTCCTATCGCCAGCCCAGGCTAGCAAAAATCGTATACAACCACCGAGCAAGGTAATGAAAAGCAATTGCATTTTATTAAATTAATTATGAAATTTAATGTGTATTTGTTGTTGTTTTGCAGATTTTACATTTCTTCAATACACCACCTGGTCTCACCGAGGATCAATTGATTGGCATTTTCAATATTAAAGAGGTTCCTGCCACATCTGTCAGGTTATTCCCCCTAAAGACCGAACGATCCTCATCGGGTCTAATTGAATTCCCCAATATTGCCCAGGCTGTTTTGGCCATTATGAAGTGTAATCATCTGCCCATTGAAGGCAAAGGTAAGGAAATAAAAAACTCATATCCCTAATAATGTTAATATTCGAGTCACTTCCTTTCAAGCCAAGTCTTAAGAACACACATTAGGTCGTAATGAATCTAAGTAATAGAATGTCAATAATTTCCAACAGAATATGGAATGTGCGCATTTAGGGAGTTAAGAACCCATTAGGGAGTTGAATTGTCTCCCAGTGCCTATTCAAACGTCATTAATTAATTTTCAATAAAAAAATGCATGCTAGATTAATTGAAGCTATGTTTCTTTGGACCTATTTTAATATCACTCAATTTTTTTTGAAATATTTCATAGATTATTAGATTGTTTTTTGAAACAACACCCTATATGTTCTCCAAATTAAGGTTTTTTATCCGATTTATTCAGAAGTTCAAAAGTATTGATAATAATTATTCAATTCATTTCGCATAAGGAGATCATTTACTTGCCTTTACAAGTAATTCACAAAATTAAAGCATACGTTTAGGCGTTAGCTTTGATGCATTTAAATGACTTCATTTATCGATAAATTTAAGCAATTTAATTGATAAATTTAAGCAATTTAATGAAACAAAATAGGATTGATTAAGTTTAATATGGTATGGTTAATATGGTCATATAAAAATATTATATTTATAAAGTTAATTTAGTTTCATTTCACAGTTCGTTATATTTCACCACATACTTGCGACTTTAGGAAGTTGGTCTCAAAGGAAAAAATGTTCTACACAAAATTTCACTATAGGTCACCGAACACAAGAAATCTGCAGATTAATAAACATCTAAAAAATAAGAGTTTTAAATTGAATATATATGAAAAGAAATATTGTTCTTTAATTTTTTGTCCTTTTTCTATTTGCCTCTATTTCCACCTAGAGGTTTGGTCTCAATGGAGAAGATATTCTACAGAAAATTTCACTAATGGTCACCGAACAAAGTAAAACTGTAAATACAATAGGTTTCTATTAAACCCCAAGAACAACATTGAATATAGAAATTAAAATAGTTATTTTGGCGAAAATTCTGTATATTTCTCATTTATCGTTATTTTGACCCAAAATTTGTCTCTCTAGAGTTTTTCTCCCAATGGAAAAAATATTCTACATCAAATTTCACTATGTGTTACCGAATCGGTATATTTAATATAAATCGCTTAAAAATATGATTTATAATTTAGTATGGAAAAATAATAATTTATTTTTGTTTAATTTTGAGAGTATTTTTCATTTAGGACAATTTCACCATTAACGTTCGGGCTTTGAGGTTCGGCTTTAGTGACGAAAATATTCTGTATAAAATTTCACTATAAGTCTCCAAGGAAATGAAATTCATATATATAATATTTTCCTTAAAAAATGAACAGCAATATTGGTTATATAAATAATAGTAGTTCCTTGGTATCAATTTCATCGTGTATGTTCAATTTGGGTGACTTTATTTAATATTACAAGGTTTTAGGGGATCGGTGTCAAAGAGTAAAATATTCTCCACCAAATTCTACCACAAGTCTCCGAACACATGAAATCCCTAAATTAAATATTTAGTAATATAATCGTACATAACCCAACTTCTTATTAATTAAGTTCTTGATTAAAGCATAAATCCTTCGCCTTATGGCTAATGAGTGAAAATACACTTTGCTATGGCAAAAATGTTCAACCTCTTCTGGTACCTCTACACAGGTGGCCAACACTTTAATAAAAACATGTACTTTTTATATAATACAATAATAAATCGTGTGTATAAAACCGTAGGCTGAGTGAGGGTATATATTTGTCAATAAAACCGACTTACACTTTTTTAACTTGTTTTCATTACATTACTTATTAGTTTTTTTTCTCTTCTTTTTCTTCTTCATCATCTTAGGCACCAAATTCCCCTTTATTATGAAATTATGTTTCTCATCGTCAAAAAGTATGAATGGTGCCTGGAATAATGCTGCAAATGAGGGTATGATTGAAAAGGAGAACGATGCCGAAATTAAACAGGAAGGTGTCTATAACTGAGATGATGCCTTAATGATGTCGGCGGCATCATTACAACAACAGCAGCAACAACAACATCAGCAGCAGCAACAACAACAGCAGCAGCAACTACAACAGCAACATTAAATAAAGAAGAAAAACAAGATTGAAGAAGATATACTATAACTCCCCCTGCATGAAAATTAAGGGGGACCAGAAAAAGGAGTTTTTTAATGGATGAAAGTGATGAAGAAGAAGAAGATATAAAATACAGTAGCAGCAGCAAAGAGCAGCTAAAAACGAACATTTCAAGACAAGAGAAGACGCAGACAGGTGTGCTACAATATATATATATTTGAATTATTTTGAGTTCAGTTTTTTTATTTTTAATTTATAACTAAAACTGAGAAGAGGCCTATCTTAAGGAGGACGAATACAAAAAACGGTGCAAACAAGAACAACAAATAGAATTTTAGTGATAATTTATAACAAAAAAGAAAAAACAAACAAAAAATTAAGGCATGCTTTATGGGCTTTCTTTCTCAAAATGAAAACAAAAAAAATATTCTGATAAAAAAGAAGAAAAAAACAATTATTAATTATTTTTAATTTATATTTAAATGAATTTTGATTATTTTTTATTTTTGTTGTTATTACATTATATAATATATAATTTAATAATTTTTGTTGTAATTTCTATATATATACATATATAACATATTTACTCATCATCTCATTTTTTGAGTTATAAGTTTTTTTTCTATTAAATATTATTATTAATTTTTTTCTTTTAGTTTGTAATAATGCAACTTTTACCAATCAAATCAACCAGCAATTGTTGTTTCTCATTGTTTTTTCTTAAATAAGTTTTTTTATGATTATTATTAATAATATTATTATTTTGTTTTATTAACTTCCACATATATATAAATATTTATATATAAATAAAAAATATTAGTTTTTATTATTACCAACAAAAAAACACTTGTGTAAAAAAACAAATTCTCAACAAATGAAAAAATATGTGAAAAATAACCAAAAAAAAATGAATACAAGAAACCATGATTTGACAATATATATAAATAATCTAATAAATATAGAAGAAAAGAAAAACCAACCAGATTTACAAAAAACAAAAGAAATACTAAAACTTTAAGAAGATGAAGATAAAAAGGAATAAGGTCCTATTGGTTTTGCTTTTAATTATTTTTTTTAATTTTCGGAACACAAACAAATCGTAGTATTATTAACAATGAATTGAAGAAAATAGGAAAACAACAAAACCAACAAAAAATAAGTAATACTAAAAATCTAATTATGTATGTATGTTATTTTTACAATGTAATTAAGAAAATTATGTGCTTACAAGAACAACAAAGAGGATAACAATAGATATCAACAAAAACAAAAGAAACAACTGCATGCTTAACGAATACAAAAAACAAATCTAGAACTACAACAACAACATAAAAGAACAACAAATTTATTTTGTTTTGAAACTTTTGAATGAAATGTGTTTTAGTAGCCATACAGGGTGTTGCAAAATTTATTTGCAGGAGGGAAATAAAAATGATAATGATTTTCATATCATCTAATAGCATATATTTTTTGGTATTCCAATAGAATATTTGAAAGTCAGCTAGTGCAAGATAAACAGGGATTCCTAATTGAAGGCTACACCGGCTTCTATTGCAAAACCAAATTTGGCTTTTAATCGAAGGTCGTATAGTCTTCTTTTGGAAGACCAAATTTGTTTTGTAATCGAAGGTCATATGGTCTCCTTTTGTTTTCCAAATTTGTTTTCTTATCAAAAGTAGAATAAACTTCTTTTGGACAATAAGGAGGTTTTTGTAATACAAACCCGGAGAGGTTTTAATTGGGAACCAAACGTATTTCTTATAAAAAAAAACTTGAAAATATTCTAATCTTTGAAAGTCTTGACAGAGACATATCTTCTATTAAAAAATATGTATTTTTTAATAAAATTTTCTTGGTCTATATATTCACAAATCTTCTAGGACCTTTGTAGCCCTTTTGGCTCTCATAAGGATTCCAGGACATTGAATTTATGAAAACATCAAAACTGTCCCATTCTTTTATTTTTTTCCTTCCCTATATTACATTTTGCAACACCCTGTTATCCGCAAGATATGATGCAGTATTGTTTCGTATTTTATTTAATTAATTATTTTTGGCAAAAACAACAAAAATGAAGAAGAACAGAACAAAAACAAAACAAAAAAATAAATAATGGAATGCACAACTTTTTACAAATTTACAATTTTACCAAGCAAACAACCAACAACAACAATTAAAAAAAGACATTTTTGTGCTTAATTTTAAATAAATAATGTATAATTAATTAATTAATTTTTTTAAAACAAAACAAATGAAGAAGAATAATTTAAACAAAACAAAAAAAATACATGTAAAAAAATAACTAACAATTATTAAATGTAAATTAAGAGCAGACATGTAAGATTTTTTTGCAGGCAAATAGAAACAAAAAAGAAATGAAAAAAAGAAGAAGAGTGTTACAAAACAAAGAACATTTCTTTTTTTTTTACATATTAAATGGATTATTATTTTTTGTTTTTTAACCAAATAAATTACAATTTTGTTTTTATATATAATTTTTTATTCTCTATTATTTAAAGAAAAGAAACCCCTATTTTATAAATATAAAAAAAAAACATAAACAAATAATATCAGCAATAAAAAGCAACACTTAACAACCATATCAGTGGCGTATAAAATAAAAAAAAAAAAACCATCATAAATTTACTAGTTTTTATGTATTTAGAAAATTGTTTAAATGTAATAAGAAAAAAATCTCAAATAATAAAAATGAAGGAAAAAAACAAAAAAAGAAACCTTAAACAGAGAAATCTAAAAAAAAACCATCCTCCACAAAACTGCTAAACAAAATTGAATGGAATTAGAAGAAAATAAAATGTCTAAATTAAACCAAAATTTCTTTATAACAATTGTTCTTTATATACAAATTAATTTTTTTATGTTTTCTTAGGGAGAGTGACTTAAACTTAATTTAAAAATTTAATAATAATAATAATATAATGAATTTTAATCATAATCATTAATTTAAATATAAACTAAACAAACAAAAAATATATCAACGAAATATTTTTAAAATATATTTAAAAAAAATATTATGTGACAAAACAAAAAACGAATTCTTTTTATTTCCTTATTTCAAATTTAATTTATTTTTTTGCTAGTTAGTTTAAAGGCAGTGTGCAATTTTGTTTTTCAAAACAAAAAACAAACTACTTGGCAAATGGGGGGTTAAATCGAAGGGTTTTCGTTATGAAATTGTGGAACTGGCAAAGAAGAAATTTAAAACAAGTTAGCAAAATAGAAATGAGGTTATGTCTGTGTTTTGAAGTTAGGCATCTCAAAAAAAAATAATATTTTCTTTATAAGGATTATATAAAGTTGCCTCAGATTTTTTTATATCGGGTATTAAACATTTACTGGAAATCTACCGGTCGTGTGAAGAAAAAATAACAGACAGCACAGCTTTAATACTTTATAATGTCATCAAAAATAAAGTCATATCAATGTTATTCCGAACTTTTGAATAACGATGGTATTTTTGATATTTTGTTACGATGTCATTATACATGATTTCGACTGTGTTTTGTGGTCTGATTATCACTTTAAAAGTAGTCCCCTATAAACATTCTGATCAGTGTGTGTTGAGAATATTACATTTTTGAGAAGGATATTAATGAAGATATTATTTCTGTCCTTTAAATTTTGAATGGCGTTCAAAACGTATGACCAATAGAAAATAGAATAACATCCTTGTCATTAATAAATATCGAAAAACAACTACAACAACAAAATATCTTTCAAATGTCTTCCATGATCTACACATTTTTTGTTGTTTTTTAGTTTAAATTAAATTTTCGATTTATTAATGTGGGTGTGGGGTTATGTTAACTATTTTGCTAACGATTATCAAATATGATAATATTTTTATAAGACATTTCTTCATACTATTATTCTACGTTTAAAAGGTGTTAGGCCTTCTTAATATTTGGAAACATTTGTTTTAATAAAACATATTTGTAAATCGAGTCGAAAACCGAAAACCAATATATTTTCCATTCTATTTACGGTTTCCTTAGTCAAAAAATGGTTCGAATACAAAAGTTTTTACTTTCTAGTTTTTCTTTTGTCATATAATAAAAAAAAAATATATTCTTAAATAGGCAACAAACTTCATTACAGGCTGTCACAATTCCTCCCATTTGAGCTTGTCTCCTTTTTCCAAGAATTTGTAACGAAATGCTATCCCGTTTCATAACCCTCACTTTGCCGAGTAGTCATATCCGTCGTCGTTTATTATTTTGCCTTCTTTTTTGAAAAATAATTTCTTTTTTGAAAAGAAATCAAAAATATAAATTTCATGGAAAATTATCCAGCAAATGAAATGCATTTTTTCCCAAAACCAGTGTTTCTTGAGTGTCTCAATCTCAAACATTTCCCTGATAACGATTATCAAAATATAGAAAGCAACGATCTTTTATACAGCTCCTAATTAGTAATATTTAAGAAGGTCATTTTGAAACAATAAAAATGAGGAATTCAAAATTCGTACCAAGCCTTTTTGTTACCTAAAAAATATTTTTTCCTAAAATGTTGGTTTAAAAAAATTAAAACGAAAAATCGAATATATAGAATATTGTTCCAAAGAATTTCGAATTCCAAAAAATTAAGTTCGAATGATTTTCATTACTTTAATATAAAATATTTTTTGGCCGATTAGATATTTCTTCTAAACGAAACATAAATTCCATTGAAATAAACATGTAGTTTCAAAGGACTTTGGTACGAATTTAGTTTTTCTTAATTAAGAAAATTATTTTTTAATACATCAAATCGAATGGTAGCTATATTTAATAATACACATAAATAATAAAAAATATTATGTTTTAAGTTTTGTCGCTCATTGTAATTAAGTTCAAGTTTTTTTGTATGTATTTTTAAATTAATTTTATTATAGTTGACTTATTTTCTTTATATTTTATTAAACATATTTTATTTCTTTTTTCTTCCTGTATATGTTTACCATTCAATACATAGTGGTACTTACTTAATTATTATT